TCTCTTTTAAATGTTTTGTTTTTTTTTTTTTTTAATTAAAACTTATTGAAACTTTCGTGAAATTTTTAAAAAGATTTTAAATAATTAACGTTATAAATTAAATGTCGTAATTATGACATGCAACTTATCTTAATATTGAATTGATGATCGTGATTCAAAAATACACAATTTTATGAATGTTCTTGTTCCAACGCGAGCGTGATAATAATTGAAGATGGAAATTTAATTGATTTTGCTGAATTATTAGAATATGTATGTGCTATTGCAAAACACCTGACTCGTTCACCAAGATCGTTACCAGGGTGGCCGAGGATTTTTCTTGACTGCGTTTGCGATGCGTTCGATGGGTTCGGATAACGGACACCTAAGCGTCTGTTATCCGAGAAGATTATCGACACGATGCGTTAATATTACATCGTACTTTGCGTACCAATGTTCGCTCGAAGCTTAAAAATAACTTAACCATTGATATGATTCTTATGATTAAAATGAAAAGAAATGATAAATTATAGAAGAATGTTCGGTAAAGTTAGAAAATGATTGATTAAAAAAAGCAATGCAGAAATAAGTAATTAAAAACTGATGATAAGAAGAAAAATCGAAGGGAAAGATTTATTCATTATTTGCATGCAGAAACATTATGATTGAATGGAATGTTTGATAAAAGGGATAAAAATAATTTATGTTTGCATTCAAAAACATAATATCGATAATATTTGAATTCATTACATTCATACATTATATTTGAAACCCGTTACCTTTTATAATCATAGATATAAGCAGATTACATAAAAATGTTCAAATTATAAATAAAATAATAAGAATTATATTAATTCATGTTCACACGTAAAATATATATATTTTTTTTAACGGTGTAGTTAAATTTGTATTACAATTTTTATATAATATAATGAAATTTCACACTCTTCTTATAATATATGATTTATTTAGAGTCATATAATTAGTTAATAAGAAATTTTTTTTATTCAATACATTTTTATAATATACAACTTAATGTGATTTTAATATGGTTTCAAAAAACTGAATAATAAATTTATCTAAATAAGTCATATAAATTCTGTATATCTAATTATCAATATTTTCAAGATTATTTTAAAGTTTTTGAAATATATGTATATTGTTTTTTTATATATATATATATTTAATTAAGAAATTAAAATAAATATTACTATTTTTATAATATGGAAATAGTACCAATAATAATTAGATAATGTACCAATAATAAATTAGATTTACGCATATATAATAATATTGTACAAATTATTATGAATTATTATGAATACATAGAAATATAATAAGTACACTGGTGTTTTCTCTTTGTATGTAAATTTGTCGGAAAATAATATGAAACTTTGCCACTTTCATTATAGCAATATTATAAAAACATAGAATATAAGATTTTTTAAAAAATGTATACGTTATTATATAAAATTGGTTCATCTCGATTTTTGTAATGCATATTGAACATAACACATTATATTCTATCTTTTTTTATAATAATTTTAGTAATCAACATTATTTATGAATAGAACAATGTAATTGTAATTTTAATTTACATTAATAATAATTTTCAGTAAAAGAGAAGTAAATTTAAAGAAACAAGTTATAACTTTGACTTGATATATTTATATGTATATATGTATATATACGTATATATATATATAAAATATGTATATATATAAATATATATATCTTAAAAAAATTTTAACATTCGTTGAATAAAAATTAGTTTTTTAAAAACTGAATAGGCTATATACTTTTCAGAACTGGTAGAAGACTCTTCTCTAAAGACAAAATATTTATCACAGATAGAGTTGAAGTTATCAATAAAATCGCAATAAAATAAGATAATATAATGATATAAGAATTGACATTATTTTTTATTAATTCGATCAATATTATATATTACTGGGTTATAATTTTTACTAATATCAAATTAATTCTTATCTTAAATAAAAAATATATAAAAGATTATATATTAAACTTAATAACTTTTATTGCGACTTTATGCCGTATTTTAAATATGAATATAATATTTTTTAGCAATTTGTAACTGATATAGATCCATTATTTTATAAACTTACTATATAATCAAAGGTTATATAAATCGATTTGTGTGATGTATTTTACTAGAGTGAGTTAATTATATAATATATTAATCAATATTTTGCTATCTTATCATTTGTCTAAATTTATGCAATTCAAAAATACTTTCTGATAATCTGCAAAATTTTTAAATAATTATATTTTCGATTAATAATTTTTCTCGTCATTTTTATAAAATATTTTATTATATTTTACAAAATAATTAAAATTATTAATTTTTTTAATGCTTACCTTCCAAAAGCATTTATAAGTGCAACAATTTCACTTCTTTCTAAAAAAAATTTCCTTCTATTAAAATTATTTAAAGTTGATTCCCATCTATCAAACTTCCCTGAGAAGAGAATTTTTAATGCTGTACCCAAACCATGTATTTGAAGTTTTCCCCATAATTTACATTTATCGCAACCTACACAATCCATAATACGAGAAATATTTCTAAAATGTTGTTTAAATTGATCTTTTAATAACAGGGCTTCAGATCCGCCAGTAAACATGACGCTTTCATTAAAGTGATCGGGAAATGACCTAAAATATATCTATATTAGACATACAATCTATAAACATTTTATTTATTAGTTATAAAATTAATCTTACTTAATAATATTTAAAATATCATTTATTGCCAAACGAGTATCTTTATCTTGTGCTTTATTACCAGTATAATATTCTTCCCTTTCTAAATATGGTGCAGCTTTAGCCAAAGCTCTTAACTCTAATAAATAAGTAAAGTATAAATTTTTTAACCAATTTGGACCTTCACCTCCTGTTTCTTCTGGTGAAAATCTTTTCTGAAATTCTTGTAAATTAGGGCCCCATTGGCCACCAGGTACTATCCCTAAATTGTCTTTTGATGATAACAAATATTTTGAACACAAATGAATGTTAATACTAGCATGAAGTCCTGATATAACACGATAAAAAACTCTCTTTTCCAAACACATCCCTGCAATAATAGATTAAAATGAATTTATAATATAATATCCAATAATTAGAAATATTTTATTAATTTAAATTATGTACCATTTATTTTTGAAGATTGAATAAAATTATGTGGTGAATTTTCAGGTCTGTAATTAAATATATATATATGAAAGAAAACATATATTTCACAATATATTCATTTCATTTTCAATCATTGAAAAGAATACATACCTAAAACAATTTTCCATATAAATATTTTTCCATATTCTATGTGCACTAGGACCTTTATAACCTGTGTATCTTTCAGGATTTAATAAAAGATCCACATACTCTCCAGGACTTGACTCTTTTACACAAAAATTATCTTGAGCATCATCATATTGCTGCCACAATTCAAAATCCTTGTAGTTCTCTGAACTAACAAAAAATATATAAAAATAAATTTGAAATTACATTAAATATTATATATTTATTTAATTAAGATTTGTTATAAATCTATAAATCTTTTTTTACCTAATTGTTGTATTTAAATAACCAAGTTCTTTATTATGATCTTTCGCACTATATAAACAATCATCATATTGTGCTTTGATTTTGTATTTATCCATAGGATTTTCATTGAAATGAATATTTCTCAATATATCCCCTTTTAAACCATCTGGAATATCTTCCTACAAACATAAAGATATATATAAATTTTAACAATTTAAATTTTAATAATATTATATTATATATATATATATTAATCGTACATATTATCATATAAATGTACAATATTATAATATTTTCAAATAATATTTTTCAAATTAACATATTACTTACATCTTGACAAGGTTGTACATGACAATATCTTATAGCACATTTACTATCATCAGTCCAAAAAGGACATTCATGGTTTAAATTTACTTTATAAAAACGAAAATAATCTTTGACTAGAAGACTCTGAACTCTTGGGTAAATTTTCATATTATTAAAATAATCCACTGTATCCACATTGCAACTACAATCATCTATTGACCCTTTCAACTAAATTTTTATAAATATATTTTAATTTATTTAAAAATATAAAAACAATATTAAATTATATAATGTTAATGTATATATTGCATACACATAGTTAATAATGACAGATGTCATATTCTTGTAGGTTATGTATATTTTTTATGAAAAAATTTGAATAACGAGAAAACAATAAAAATAATACCTTACAGAAACATTGATCATTCTTTTCATTGTTTGTATTAAAATAATTAGAATGTACAATAGAAGGTGAAAACACAGTAAATAGTATCAATACTCCAAACATATTTTCATTGGCTTCAATCTTCATGATTAAGTTCACTGGTATACTTTTCAATTACGTTTTGAAATTGATAATAAAATAATACCGCGCGCCCCCGCGATATTTTTCCACTTTTTATAACATCGACTAGTCTACGTGCTACCAATAACGTAAATCTTTCTGTCAAAAGCAAACATTATTGATACTTTCATCATATTGTTTAATGTTCTACTAATATACATACATTTACTTATACTTAGAAATATTCTTTTTTATAATTATATATTTAAATAAAGATAACACATATTTCAAATAATTAAAATATTTTATTTTACTTATAATGATTAATCTTAACGACGTGACTGAAATCACACTACACTGTGTATTGTGTATATGCATATATGTGTATCTAGATACCTATTTACTTATATTAGTCCCCTCTTTTCATTTAATTATATTATGCTTCCACGTGTACTTACAACATTTGTTACTGATTCTAAATAACAATGATAAAATACAACATTTAATAAATTAAATTTTAATAATTAATTATTGAAAAAGAATTTATTTTTTTTAATTATTTTATATTAGATTATATATACTTATAATCTATCTTATAATCTACATAATAAAATTATGTATATTTATATATTATATGTGTATATCTAAAAATATTGTATATTAATATTAAATTGTTACATTTATTTATTAAATAGTATAATAAATTTAATATGTATAAAAAAAAATTAATAAAATAAAAAATTTTTAATTTTTCCCTTTTCATGTAATCTTTCTAATATAATTGTAATTTCATAATAAAGAATTTAAATATTATAATGAAATTATAACGAAAATTTTTTTGAATTATGAAATCTAATTAAAAAATTATATATATATATATATAACGTAATATAATATTAATTAATAGTCCAATAAAAAAAATCAAAATTAAAAATATTATATATTTATATATATGTGTATATATAACTAAATATTAATATTGAATATATTTCTAATAATAATAAATTAGTCTAAAAATTCAATTTTAATATACATAATATTATACAATAACAGATTAAATAAACAATGGATTGTATGAATTGTAAGATATATAAATTTGTGTATAATTGTGTAAAATTTAAATAAGATTTATTTTTACTCACATTTTACACTGATTCTAAAATAATTTTTAAATTTCTATAAGTATTATCTTGAAATGATTTTATATTTTAACATATATACACATTATTTTTTGATATATACACATAATTTTTTGATATAATACAGTAATCAATATAATAAAATATTGAAAACAATAAATTATAATAAAAATATTAAAATAAGATTTATTATTTATTTAAAATTTCTTGACAAAAGTATAAAAATTGAATTACAAGATTTAAAAAATAAAATTTTATAAAAAGAATATATATATTAAAACAATATTTACATAAGATAAAAGAATATAAATTTAATATATCATTGATAATTCTTTCTTTATAATATACACGCATATGTAATATGTACATAAGAAATTTATTTTAATTTTGAAATTTTATAAAACTAATAAAATTAATGTTCAAATGAATTATAATTAATCAGTTCACAGTACTATTTGTATTCATTGGCGTAGACGCATTGTGGTATAGGACATGTCAAAACTTTATGCGAAGGTGCCGATGGTTAGTTGTCATTAAATAATGATATTTATATTTAAAATTTATTTACATTAAAGAATAGATTTGAAAATGATTTTTTAAATTTTCTAAATTTAAAAGATTTTTTATTATATTGTTTTATTTTCAATAATTATATATAAATTCTTATATGTGTATATATATGTGTATATATATATATATATATATATATATATATATATANATATAATAAAAATATTAAAATAAGATTTATTATTTATTTAAAATTTCTTGACAAAAGTATAAAAATTGAATTACAAGATTTAAAAAATAAAATTTTATAAAAAGAATATATATATTAAAACAATATTTACATAAGATAAAAGAATATAAATTTAATATATCATTGATAATTCTTTCTTTATAATATACACGCATATGTAATATGTACATAAGAAATTTATTTTAATTTTGAAATTTTATAAAACTAATAAAATTAATGTTCAAATGAATTATAATTAATCAGTTCACAGTACTATTTGTATTCATTGGCGTAGACGCATTGTGGTATAGGACATGTCAAAACTTTATGCGAAGGTGCCGATGGTTAGTTGTCATTAAATAATGATATTTATATTTAAAATTTATTTACATTAAAGAATAGATTTGAAAATGATTTTTTAAATTTTCTAAATTTAAAAGATTTTTTTATTATATTGTTTTATTTTCAATAATTATATATAAATTCTTATATGTGTATATATATGTGTATATATATATATATATATATATATATATATATATACATATACATCTAACCTACAATGTTTGAATTGTCAAAGAACATTTTGAAATTTACCGTATATAAATATCTAAAAGAGTATTATATTAAAAATATTTAAAAATACTTATATAATATAATTATTATTTTCATTTACTAATAATTAATTTATATATTATCATAATTTTCAATAATTAAATATTAATTTTTTGTTTTTATAATAATTATATTTCTTTTTAACTAAAATCATGAATTATTAGATAATAAAAATATTTTTATTGACATTTTATTATACATTGACAATATAAATAGAATAAGTATATTAAAAGAATTTATTACTTTAAAAATTTATAAAAAAATAATATAATATAATTAATACTGATATAATATTGTTAATATTAACTTTGATACTTAAATATAAAAGTTTAATTAATTAATCTTTTTCTGAATTATATATTTAGGATAAAAGTCAGTTTACGTTTGAAGATAAATGGCCATGTATGCGACCAACTATTTTAAAATTACTCAAACAAGAAACTGTTACTCAAGCAGAGTGGCAAGATTTATTCTTTTCTGTTCATGCAGTATGTGTATGGAATGACAAAGGTGCTCTTAAATTATTAGATGCACTTAAAGAAGATATAATGGATTTTATAAAACAAGCTCAGCAGGTATATATTATTCTATATATTTCTAAATAAAAAGATATATATTGTTATTAATAAAAAATTATTATTTTATATACTTTATAGAGAGTTTTAGCACACCAAGAAGAACAAGCCTTATTAAAAGCATATATAGCTGAATGGAGAAAATTTTTTGCACAGTGTAATTATTTACCAACACCATTTAGACAATTAGAAACATCTCTTGCTGGAAAAGCACCATCTAGTGTTCAGAAAAAAAGTCAACCTGATGATATTGTTAGAAAAGTAAGAATTTCTTTTTTAGTTTCTCAATGTATAATTCTATAATTTTTTATTTTTATTATAGCTGATGTTGGATAGTTGGAATCAAAGTATATTTGGAGAAATAAAACAAAAACTTCAAGATTCAGCTATGCGACTTGTTCGTGCTGAAAGAAATGGTGAAGCATTTGATTCACAGTTAGTTATTGGCGTTAGAGAATCTTATGGTAATAATTTTTTTTTATCATGTAAGCTCTTTCAATGTACACATTATAATTTTAAAATTGTATTTAATTAAATTGCAGTAAATTTATGTTCAAATGCAACAGATAAGCTTCAAATTTATAGAGAAAATTTTGAAGCAGCATATATAGAAGCAACAGAAGCTTTTTATTGGGTTAAAGCTCCTGAACAGTTATCATTACATGGTGTAGAAAATTATATGCGTTATGCAGATGCAAAATTACAAGAAGAAGAACTTCGTGCCCAAAAATATTTAGAACCAAACAGTGCTAGTGTACAACTTTTAACTGATTGTTGTGTACGTGTTTTAGTGGCAACTTTTAAGCCAGCTATATTAGCAGAATGTCCAAGAATGATTCAACATCGTCAAACAGATAGTAAGTATAATAATTACAATATTTTGATTTCTAAAATAATAATGTAATATAAATTTTAATTATAGAACTTAGGTTAATGCTAAAACTAATGGATAGAGTTCCTGAAGGAGTTGGTCCAATGTTAAGAAATTTAGAGGAACATATAGCAAGTGCAGGTTTAGCTGATATGATGGCAGCTGTGGATGTTATTACTCAAGATTCTGAAAAATATGTCGAAAGATTATTGGATCTTTTTCGTCGATTTTCAATTCTTGTTAAAGAAGCATTTGATGATGATCCTCGATTTCTAACTGCTCGAGATAAAGCTTATAAACTTGTTGTAAATGATGCAACAGTATTCAGGTTAGAATTACCTGCACGTCAATGTTCTGGTATTGGTACAACTATTTTGAATAACAAACCTAACAATAATAATAATGGACAGCCAGAGTCAAAATGTCCAGAACTTCTAGCTAACTATTGTGATATGTTACTTAGAAAAACACCACTCAGTAAAAAATTGACTTCTGATGAAATTGAAAGCAAGTTAAAAGATGTGGTATGTATTGTGATATATATTGTTGTGCTTATAATATTTAATATTATTTTATGTCATACTTATTTTATGTTGATTTCTTTTTAGTTATTAGTGTTAAAATATGTTCAGAATAAAGATGTGTTTATGCGCTATCATAAAGCTCATTTAACAAGGCGCTTAATATTAGATACATCTGCTGATTCTGAAAAAGAAGAAAATATGGTAGAATGGCTCCGTGAGGTTGGAATGCCTGCTGATTATGTTAACAAATTAGCTCGAATGTTTCAAGATATTAAAGTGTCACAAGATCTTAATCAACAATTTAAGGAACAATGTAGAGCTGCTATTGCAGATAGTATTAATATTAAGGTATTTGTTAAAATTTTATAATAATATTTTATTATATATTCATATATTGTTCATATACTGTTAAATATATTGAAATGTGTATTAATATTATCTATCATAGATACTAAATGCAGGTGCATGGGCCAGAGGTAGTGAACGCGTCACTGTAAGTTTACCGTTGCAATTAGAAGATTATATTCCTGAAGTAGAAGAATTTTATAAAAAAAAACACAGTGGAAGAAAATTACAGTGGTATCATCATATGTCAAATGGCACGGTAAGAAAGAAAAATCTTGTCAGAGTATTAAAAAGGGTTTTATTTTAAAAATTATTATAAATTAATTAAAATTCTTTATCCACATTAAGAAAATATATATATGTTTAAAACAGAACATCATAAGTTTTTCTGATGCAGTAAACGTGGGTATAGAGTAGAACTTTTCAAAAAATTCAATATCTCGGTTCTAATTTTCAGCTTCACCTTGCAACCAATTTGGATGGTGTTCCAGATAACATTTTCTAACCAAGTGGGACGCTTCGATGTGGATGTAACAACATTTCAAATGGCAGTTTTGTTTGCTTGGAATCAACGACCGTTTGAAAAAATATCATATGAAAATTTACGATTGGCTACGGAACTTCCAGATCCTGAACTAAGACGAACATTATGGTCGTTGTGTGCTTTTCCGAAACTTAAACGTCAACTTCTTTTAGTTGAACCACATGCACATAGTCCCAAAGATTTTGCAAATGATACAAGATTTTGGGTTAATCAAGAATTTGCTATTGTGTTAGTAATATTTCTTTTTCATATAAATTATTATTATATAATTAATTAAATTTGATTTGATCTAGAATAATTAATATTTTTCTTTAATTCTTAGAAAAAATGGTAAACTGCAAAAACGAGGTAAAATTAATTTAATAGGTAGACTTCAATTATCAACTGAGCGGAGTAAAGAAGAAGACAACCAATCTATTGTACAACTTAGAATATTAAGAGTTCAGGTAATATTCTTTATATTGTAAGAATTATTGTAATATTATAAATAATTAAATTATAATAATTTATAAATAATTAAAAAATCTTTATAAATAATTCTTATCTCTAATAAGTAAAAATTATAATATAAACGTATTTTTTAACAGGAAGCAATTATCAAGATTTTAAAGATGCGTAAAAAAATTAGTAATGCACAGTTACAAACTGAATTAGTTGACATATTAAAAAATATGTTTTTACCGAGTAAAAAGATGATAAAAGAACAAATTGAATGGCTTATTGAGCATAAATATATACGTAGACACGATGATGACATTAATACTTTTGTGTACATGGCATAGATCAGGATTATACATATAATATTGTTCAGATTCTCATGATTAATATTATATTTTTATAAACATTCAGTTCTTGTTTACCAAGTATATGCTCAAAAATCCTAATATAATAAAAAGATATTAATGTTGTTTGTAATATATTCACAAAAAACATTTTTTGAAACAAATAGTACTGTCATACAGAGTCATATCGTTCATAAATTAAATAATATTATATTGTCTTCGACCATAGGAATGTGCATTGTTAAGTAGGTATATCTATTAAATTTTCAAAAATTAAAGTTTTTTTTTTAAAAAAAAAAAGTTAATTTGAACATATCTATGGAAAAAAATGTTTGTTTTAAAATCTATTCATTATATTATATTTCCATTATTTTTTGTCTTTTATTTTTAGTGTCATTGCTATTCATTAATAACTTTATCTTTGATTTTATTTTTATTATTTTGTTTTATATTTAATATAATCTGACAATTTTATTCTATTTTAGAATAAAATAAGTTATTTATAAAATAATTATAAATCCTATAAATTTGTCACAAATTAGTTTATTTGGAGAGAAAATGTTATAGATGGTATGTACACATATGTACATTATACATTTTAATACATGTTTAAGCATAATTGCATGAATATGTTTATTTATTGTGTAATTGTTTAAGTGTACATATTTTCTAAACATAATTATTTTCATTAATTTGTTTAAAGACAGATAAAAGCACTAAATTATAGAATTTTTTTCTAGAGTTTTATGATACTTCTATATTTTGTTTTTATTAAATACATAGCAATTTTTTTAAATCAAATACAATTTTCAAATTACAAAAGTTAAAATAAATTAATTCATATGAAAAAAAAATATATAAAAAATGGCCTACACCGTTACATGTAAATGTAAGGATATAAAATTTTAATTTTTTTATATTTTAATAATAAAATCTTATATCATATCTGTACCTAAAAAATTTTACAATTATATTGTGAATGATAAAATCTTAACTTAATATTACTGATAACATTGATGTGTATAAAGCTTTTATATTATTTCAATATGCGATCAACTGTAAAAGTGAACAATTTCGAAATTAAAAAATAAGATTTTTTTATATTTTTTGATGTATTTTATTACATTTTTCCCAAAAATATTATTTTTATAAATAAATCATTTTCTAAAATTATTTTAAAATAATAATTAAAATAAATTATATAATTAATTATATTATATTACATAATTGTAAAAGATATTTTTATATGTTATTTATAAAAGACTTCAACACAAAAAATTGAGTTTTAAATAACATATTTATTCACACAAAAGTAATTTGCTGTAACATATAAATTATCAACAAATCTATATTAGATTAAATCTTACATCAATATGAAATATATTTTATATAAGAGAGAACATTATATACATTACACACATGCGCGCGCGCGCGCAACACACACACACTCATGCATTAATAATTACAATTACAAAAAAAAACGCATAATATTAATATATTTTGAGTAATACATAGATTTATTATTTGCAAACAATTTTTTTCAAAATAACAACAGTATTTATAAGTTTAACTTTATTAATTATATATATTCTAAAAGTTTAAAATAGTTTTTTAATGAAAAAAATCATTTTCTAATTTTCATATTGGTTAATTAAAATATGACATGAAATAATATCACTGATATCACTTTTCATGTGTTTGCATAATATACTTCTATAACAATATATATGTACATTAAATATACATCAATGTTCATAACTTTCTTTAAACTTATCACACACATTCACTTTGTAACAAATGATACTTTTTAAGTTAATCTTGCTTGAAATTCTGAGATAATTATAGTACCAAGATTTTAATTCTATTTGCCTTTTTTCTATGATCATAAATTTTATATATCTTTTTTAAAATTATTTATAACATTGATACTTTGAGTAAAATTTTAATAGTGATAATTTGATACTTTTTATTTTTGATATTTTAATATTAATTTTATTAATTTTTATTATTGTAAGTAAGCAGCTAACAATATTTTAAAATATGTTTTTAAATTAAAAGAGGATAAGAATATAAAGTTATTTTGAAACATGTAGATTTTTATGTAATTTTTTATTTGTACGTTATTAAATATTCGATGATTTTTAAATTATGTCATTATATCACGTATTTTTATTTGTTTGTAATGTCTGCATAAAATATTATTTATCTGAAAACAAAAACAACTTTTGTGATAAAATATTTATTATATATTTTTATTTTATCTTAAATACTCACATATATTTGTCTGAGCAAAACACATTTACAGATTATTTCCTGTGAGTTTATAATCATAAATTAAAGTATCAATTTTGCAATATTGCAATACAAAATTGTTGAATATCATTATTTGTAATGCCTCTAATTGCTTCTTGGATGGATAAATAATTCATTTTATTTGTAAAGATGGACAATTTCTAATCGAGATGTTTATGAATGTTCTGGACAACGCGTATGTTGAATACGTGGAACATTTTTTATAGGATTTGTTGTTTCACAAACATGTACAACTATGCCAGGTTGTCCTGAACCTCCAGGATGTAATTCATGACTACCTCCTGTAAAATTATTTATATAGTTGATATACATATATAAATATATATAGAGAAGAAGCATATTATAAATTATTCAAATAATAAAACCTGCAGATAAATTTGCTATAGCTGCTAATAAGTCATGATTGACTAAAGGTTCATTTTCCTCTCTGGGCTCCCATCCAATAGGTGGTGAAGCAGGTGGCGAAATTAGGAACTGTTTAGTAAGTGCTGGTGGTTGAAGATGTTGATCTTCTACATCTATAAAATATATTATTTTCATAATGTATAAAATTGTTTTTATAATATATAAATATGTAATATACAAACCTATTGGAGTAACAGGTTGTGCAAAATAACAATTGATATTAGTTTCACCAAAATGAGTTTGGTGCAATTGTATCCTAGCATTTGCTGCTGCATTTGGCGAACTATAATTCACTCTCATTCTTCTAAAAGATCTAAAATATTGAAATGTAGCATCTTTCCCAAATTGCTTGAAAAGGTCCTGTATTTCATCCTATAGATATAAAACAAATATCTATTAAAATGTATATTTATTACATTGAATTTTATTATAAATTTTTATTACCTTTAATTCATCATTTTTAAAAACTCTGGGGTCTACATTAGTTACAATGACTGATGTTGGTAAATCTTCATCACGTACTAAATCTTCAATAGATCTTGTATCAGAACGACTTTTTTCTATGTCAAATTCTAATTCTAATTGTTGATAATTAGGATGTAAATTTGGTAATCCATCAACTTCATTTATTATGATATTTTCTGATTCTTCTAGTTCTTCATCTTCCACTACATCAGAACCATGTTTCTTCTCCATATTTATTTGATGCTATATATAAAAAATATTACACATTAATATAATATGTATATTAATATATAAATTAAATATATAAATTAATATTTTTAATATAAAAATTAACTTGAAAATATCAATTGTGTGAAAATATGAGTAATTTAAATAATTTACTTTTTTATAAATATTTTGATTGATAATTTTATTATGATTTTATACATCAAATTATAAATAAATTATAAATTTATATCATTTTTTTATAATTATTTTCATATTGATTAATTATCTTTAATTTATTAATAAAATTTCAATAGTTGTTATTTCGCAAATAAAAGTTCATAATATCAATTATGGTATGTTATATTTTTATATATAATCAAAACTTATGGTATGTTATATTTTTTCAAATGTTAAGGTTCTTTTATTAATCGTGAACTAAAAACAATGAGAATGTATATATTTCGAAATTATATATTTTTTATGAATTATGAATTTATTTGCAATTTATATTACTATTAACAACAGATCATTCACATCAACATAACATCTAAAAGACAAAGTAATTAATAAGTTGACAGAATAGGCAATACTTACTTGTTTTCTTTGATTAAATCGAATGTATGTCTTCTTAATATTTATCTCCTTAATATTAGATTGAGAATAAATTGTTTACTTATTAGTTTACTTATTTTTTTTATTTCATTTAGATATAAAAATCTTTCATTGTATTAATGTTGTTATTAATCATTTATACACTTTCGATATGTTACATATTGTATTCATTACTTTATTATTATCGTAATATAATCTTTTATAATCGTAGACTAAGAACTAGACTAGAAAGATAAGAAAATTAGTATAGATAAACTTTTTTCAATAAAATCACTTATTATTGTTATATTATTTATTACGAGCAATAAATAAAAACGAATAAAAATCTATATTATTTAAAATATTGTTTTTTTAAATTATGAAATTTAAAAACAGTATTTGTTTTCACTAGAATAAGGATATTTGAAAATTCGTCTTATATCAATCTTCTTATCGAGTTACCCTTCTATACACTTATATAAAATATATAAGTACTTATGCATGCGCATATGCATTATATATACATATCTATGTATTTGTACTTATGTATATCATATAGTCGTAAATAACAGTGAGCAACAAATAACAATGTCGACGATGGAAGGTTCACTTAGCAAATGGACAAATGTTGTAAATGGATGGCAATATCGCTGGTTTGTTTTAGACGATAATGCTGGTCTTTTATCATATTATACAGTAAGAATTTTTGAATATTATAATTTTTGTTCTTGAATATTCACTTTTATTAATTAATAGGTTACATTCTATTTTCTTTTAAAATATTTATGTGATAATTAATTTAAAATTATAATTTAAATATAATATAAATTATTATATTTATCAAATTTTTTTAAACTTATTTACCAATTATTTATAAAAAATTATTTGTAATTCTTTAAATATCTTATATATTTGCCATTATCAAGTAAATATCTTGTTCTCATTTATATTTAACAAAATATTTATCAACATTAAATGATAAAAAGAATTAATTTTAAAAAAATTATTATCAATATAAATATTTTTGTATTATATTCATTATAATTAAATTATCAATAATTCATATTTTATAAAAAATCTAATTATTAATATTTTCATTATATTATTCATTATATTTTTATTATATGTCTTAAAAAAATTATAAATATTTTAATTATAAATATTAATAATGCTTTCTCTAAAATTTCTATTAATATTACATTTCAAATAATTTTTTTATTATTTTTTAATTATATTTTAGAGTAAGGAAAAAATGATGAGAGGAGCCCGCAGAGGATGTGTACGTTTAAGAGGTGCTATTATAGGT